TTTTGTACCATTTATTTCAATATCATTAAGTATAAAGAAGCTATTCGAGACTTGAATAATTTCTTGTAGTGCTGTTTATTACTTCTTTAATGAATTTATTTCTTTTTATAAAATAATATACTTTTTAAATAGTCTCAGATCTTTATAGATTATTTCTAGTACAAGTTTATTTAATATGTCCTTTTTGTAGTTCAAATCCTACTATCGATAAAATTTGAATATATCTAGACCTTGAATTTTAATTAATTCAATAAACTCTGTTTGTTTTTAGAAGTTGTAACTCTATAAGTTAAGTTATATCAAATTACTAAATATTAGTAGTATAATATAAGTATATTGAAGAATATAGAGTATAATGTTATATGAATAAATCTTAATCAAATATATAGATATGAGAGACCTGCATAGTAGAAATCCTAAGTTGATAAAATAGTATAGCTTATGATAGTTAAGCTAGCTAACACTTGATTCAGAATAAAACTTGAGTACTATAAAAATGCAAACCAAGCTAGATGTGAGTAAGTCTGATCTATTAATTAGCAATACTAATTTAGCATAGTAGCTAACTGAATTTAGAAAGATCTAACTTGTAAAATATTCAGATAATGCTAAAGCAGATACTAGTAAAGAGCTATAGCAGAAACTAAGATCATATAAATACTAACAAGGGTAACTATAAGTTTTTTTATTAAGTAAGAATACTAAAAATATAGAAAGTAGATCAAAATTCAAGATATACTTGTAAAAAATCAAAATAGTATAATTCACTAAGCTAGTAGTAGTAATATGAAAAAACAAAGGGTATACCAGTTTATTGAGTACTAATTATATGGTAGTAGCATATTTGTACTATAAAATCTATAACTAAAAGCAACTATGTTGTAAAACATATTTTGAACCTTACCAATACACAGAAGTACTTATAAACAGAAATTGGTATATATGTAAATTATATCTGATATTATATTTGAGCAAGTTCTACATTTAGGTACTATGAGTAACTATTCAAATATCACTAAATTAGGAGTAGTTATGAAGTTACAAATATCTTAAGCCTAAAAGGCAGTAACTAATTTGAGAATTATTTATAAGGAGTATAGGAGATATAGTAAATACAGCATAGTAATCATATTTGAGAAAAAGAAGTTTATAGAAATCTAAGTAATATATAGTTGTAAGCTATAGACTACTCCAATAGCTTTAGTACAAGATTAAGTAATATACATATATACTATAGGTTCTAAGCTTAATTTAAAATATATAGACTAGTTTAAAATTATAATGTAACAATTGTAATAGATAATATAATTCTTAATAAACAAATTAAACTAAGTACTCATCTTAATATTAAAAAAAAAAAAAAAAAAAAAGTATATTCTTTTTATATCTGAGCTTAGTCTTGAGTGAAGTTCTATATTTTACTTGTTTTTGCTAAATATCACTATTATTTAATATATTCATGTCTCATTTTATTATTTTCTCTTTTAATCTAGTGATGTTTTGAGTTTATTATTCTATCTCATAGTCACTACTAAATATGATTAGTCAGCTTTTGTCTTTTGATATTTAATAATACTAATCTACTAGATCTATGAGTAGCTTAGTTAATTGAGACTTGTTAGATTTAATAAGTAGTTTGGATGTCTGCAAATAAGTACTTCTTTTGTTATTCTTATTACATGATATAATAGAATTAATTAGAAAGGTTATATAATAACTAACAGAGTAGTAAGAGAAGCAGTATTATGCAAAATATGATTAAATGATAAGATATTAGCTTTACTGAATACAGAATACCTTTGGCATATATAAAAACTTAAAAAGGTAAGTTCTAATTATAAAGAAGACAGTTTACATGCTAAGGATATATAATAATCTGAAATAGTTAGAAGTACTAGACTAGTAGTAGAAATATGAATAATATACAAGAGCATACTAATATTAAACTCTAACCTTTTCTGATAAAAACTAGAAGTAGTACTATATATTACAAACCTAGTTAGAAATAATCTTTAATTATAAAATATAGCCTATACCTACTAACATACAAGAGTTTTCTAAAAAGATATGTGAATATAGCATGCATATACAACTTAGCATAAATAAATACTTTCATGTCTTAGTATTATGTAAATACTGATAAAGATACCCTTAAGCCAGAATATCCAAAATAGAAAATAACTGTAAGGATCATAATGCTAATAATCTGTAATAGATAAAAACTTATTGAGAAGCAGCTTTGTGTAAATGTATGAATGATGCAAGAAATACAATAAGAACTTTAAATGAATAAATTATAATATAAATCTAAGATTATATAAATATAGATTATACAAGTCTTAGTCAAGTACATTTTGAAGATAAATTAGTTCTAAGATTGCATATCTAGTTAAATACATTGAAATCATTACTTGTAATTAATTATAATAAATTTAATAAAAATATACGACCAAAGAGATTACTTGTAAAAAAAAAAAATAAAAGAAAAAAAATATAAAATACTATTAACAAAGTAAACATCTTAACAATAAAATAAAATCTAATAAGCCAAGAAAGCAGTCTTAATAAAAAAAAAAAAAAAAAAAAAAAAAAAAAAAAAAAAAAAAAAAAAAAAAAAAAAAAAAAATAAGATTCTACCTTTAAAATTTATATATGAATTAAAATATATATATCAAGTTATTTGATCTATAATTAAAACATTTTGAACTTCTATAAAGTGATATGTTCTACGTATATTAACCCCAATTCCTAAGTAATAAAAATAGCTAACTTGATATATTTCTTTAGAATTACCTATATTAGCAGACTGTTAATAATGAATAAATACTTTATTTTTATCCAATTCCATATCCGTAGCGATAACCAAGCCAGAATATTCTTTCTGAATCATTTATATCTGCTAATTTTGAAAACATCGAATATTTTAGTAATATTAATATTATCTGATGAGTTGATACCTTTTTTTGTAAATACAAGAAAAGTATATTATCTAATGAAGGAACAGAAGGATTAAATTCTAGTTATATTTAAAATTAATTGGCACTTATTATTCAGAATTAATATTTTAGAGATGGGTAAGTTAAAATTACTATTCGTGCAAGTTCTAATTTATAATCTAGAGTTTTATTTATTTACATTAAATTACAGAATTACTGTAAAGTTAGAATCGTAGCATCATTCCTAATTGAATAATTTTTGTTGGTTATCACACAGATACACAAAATATCAAGCAACATCAAGTCTTTATTGTTTTATTGTAACAGTAAGTTAAATTTGGAATGTGGAATTCATTACATAATATTTTAAGATATCGAATGACTGAATAAGTTCAAAGTATATAATAACGAAGTACAGTACTAAATCTAAATGTACACGAAATCAATTCGTTTTTGAAATATCTTACTATACTGTCTTAATAATTAAGTTTGTTTATGTTGAAATAAAAATGTAATACCAATTTTTTCTAATCAATAAAAAGTCACCAGTTTGACCTACATCTGTGCATTGTAAATCACATGATCTTAGTCAATCACCTATCCTCCCTATCTCCTTGATATCCTGTATCATCTTCATTTTCCTTGGTTTGCGACCTTGACAATGATGTCATTCGTTTGGTAACAGTAGAAAACGGTTGATCCTTTGGTAATTCTGTCATTGCTTCAACGCGAAATCCTTCACCTGAAGATCCAACAGATCCAAACGAATTAGCTCTACTACCTGTACCTGGCCTTGTACTTGACCCACTTCCCCAACTACTTGTTCTACTACGTCCTGATGCGCTACCATTATTTTTTTCAAAAAAAAAAAATACATCATCCAATTCTGATGTATCTCCTGTAAGACGTTCCCAATTGAATACTTTATCATCAATCCAATCAATTGGAGATTGGAATAAACTTTTAGTTGGAGTTACTGATGAACGTTCAGCTGCCTCAATAATTCGTTCAACATCAAAATCAGGGTAAATCCTAGGTGCCAACTCATTAATTAAATCTGTGAGATTATTTGACAATTGTTCTCGAACAGTACACAAATTCTCAATAGATGGTCTTGTCCACGGAAGTAATGACAAGAACAGTGGACGAATTGATCTAGTAAAATGATATAAAGTATAAATTCAAAAATATAAATTTAAAAATAAAAAACTAAAATTGTTAATTAGTTAAAAAGGAATAACACTTACTTGTATATATCACGACCACTCTCTACAAATCGGATGGTAACATAGCTGCCCGTTACCAATGTACAAAATGTTGCTATGGGGGCAAATACTTTCCATTTTAGTATCCACCTTTTTTTAAATGACACAAGAACAACGATAAATGTATAAAAGCTATAAAGAAGAGGTGTGACAACTAGCGCAACAAGAAGTTTCCATGTAGCGAGAACATCACGACCAGCTATTTTAACAGATGAACTGCGAACCGCTTCTGTTGGCATAAATATTGAAAATAAGTTTCCTACAATGATCTTATAAAATAAACACCAAATAAATTACCGGAAATAAAATCAAACCTTCAGCCTTTCTTTTACTAACTTTACGAGCAATTATTACAAGTGGAAGGTTTAAAATAAATCTGTAAATTATAAACATATATTATGACCTATTGATAAAAAGTACTTGTAATAATGAAATTAAATATAAAATACCATTCTCTTACCCCGGTAAACCCAAAATACTCCAAGTAGTCAGCAACATTATTCTATATAGTAACAATCCAGCAGCTCTAGGACCTCCGATCGCTGATTTATGTACTTGATGATCTTTTAATCCATAATATTTTAATAATTGGTTATAAGCAATTATTCTTTTACGCATATCTTGTACCCTAGGTTCATCCTTAAAATGTTCATAACCAGCGATAAACCTCCGATTCAATTCTACAATTTGAGAAATTTGTAGCTTTCGGTGAGCTGGTTTATACAGGCAACGTCCAGCTTGAATAAACTATAGACCAATTAAACACAAAAATATTTATGTATTCTTTTTTTTTTTTTTTTTTTTTTCTTTTTTCTATTGTAAAAAAATTCCGATATACGTTACGACACACACCATTAATGTATCATAGTCTGGTGTATTCACGGTAACAGCTCTCAATCCGTTATAAATGGTCTCCAGTAATTTTGAGCATGCTTCTCGTTTTGATGAACCGC